AAGCAACAAAAATGAATAAATGAAAGGTTTTGGACAGAAAAAAAGGATGGATTTCTTTCATGAGCTGTTTTTGATGTAGGCCTGCCTCCTCTAAAAATAGAGGATCCATTTATTAAATTTTGTCAGAACTTATGTCCTGCATATGTTATCATCTAGGAAAAGTTTGTTAAGTGACAAAATTGCTTATATCATATAATGGTAATTATTTGGTAATTAATACAATTTGTATGTAATTGATCATCAATAAATTGTGTTATGTTTGCTTTGTGTAATAATAACTTTTTCTCTAAAGATCTTTTTGACTAAAAAAAGTTACGCGTTTTTCTACCTTCCAATAAAAAATAAAAAATAAAGTCAATGATAAGCGTTGACAATATTTCAATTATAGTTAATACTGTAAAGCTATATTACGATTCTGAGCAAAACTTGTCAAGCTACTACAACTGCTACTACATTAGGAATTTTGGCTAAATGGTTAGAAACAATAAGAAACATTTCTGTTACCACTGATAATCTATATAATATTCTGCAAGTTCATTCGGAGGAATTCATGTTGGGTCAAAAATGGTCAAAAACAATAAAATAATTCATTTATAGATATTGTATTTTTAATAAATCACAAGACAAAATCATATATGTATCAATTAATTAATATTAAAACAAGTTATTAATTACATTGATGATGACAAGTTTTATACCTGAAATTTGGTAATACAAATATTCACTTTGTCTGATTTGTTGCTCAACTGAGATTTTTATATAAGGTAAAAATGCCTATTTTGAACTCTGATCCTCATATAAGACAGAGTTGTCAGAAACTCGGATTTTAATTTATAAGGTAAAAAGTGATACCGATTTTTAAAGAAGGTAATATATGGGCAAAGGAAGAAAAATCAGTGCTCTATTTTATGACATGCTAAACATTGGTCATAAAAAAAAATGTTATGAGCTTTTATATTTGCTAAAAACTCATTATGACAATGTCAAGAATTCATAAACCAAGAAAGATCCAAAATTTACAGCTGAAAAATTAAAAAGTCAGCATTATGATCAAAATCACTAAAATGTAAGTGTGACAAATATATAAAAATTTGGACCCAGATATTCTTGAAATACATCTTAATGGAAAAGGATATGTATACAAAGCTGAAGGCAATCAACCTATACTCAAGGATTAGATTACCAAATAGGTTACAAGAAAATTAGTCAATTAGTTGGAGAAACAACAAATAATAATATTGTAAATGAATGAGGCAACAAAGATATTTATTATTGTTAATTTAATTCACTTGTAAAAATAATTTGATTGGTGTCAAAACTTGTTTTGGACAAAATAAAATGGAAGAAAATTCAAATCATCATCATGTAAATTAGTTAGCAGTATTCCTTATTTATTATTATAAATAAAAAAGTATGGTGGACAAAGTCCTATAATTAATTTGCCTGTAATAGAGCCATTTAGTTAAAAATATAAATGAATATTAATATTAATATAATGTACAGAATCTTTTTTTTAGAATTACACAACGTCGATCATTACAGTATTTAGTAATTTAAAATAACACCAAAAATTAAAACGTATCATAAAAAATAATGTCTTGGAGAAATCAATTATCAAAAAGTTTAAAAGAACTTCGTATACATTTTTGTCAAACTTCTCCT